TGGTAGATCGAAAAGGGTTACTCCGTTCTCCTAAAAACCGTCTTTCCACGCGAAGTCTTCGATTTTCCTAAATACAAAGGCAACGTCTATGCAAATAGTCCACCACAGGAAGCAATACGATGTCGATTTTGTGTTTGTCTGTATTTACGATACACAAACAACAAAATTAAATATACAAAATTAATCAACAAACATCGATAAATGACAGTTGTCGTTGTCAGTTGCCCCCTCTATGGTTGCCCCTTGTACCAACTTAAATAAAACGAAAGGTGATTAGGTATAGTATTTTTAATACCTATTTAAGCCCGGGACACATCTATCATGCATTCTTCCGATCCGACTCCGATCATACAATCAGGGTCCTCATTCTTGGAACAGAGAGCAGCCTTCCCAGCAGGAGAGCGAGTGTTCCGCTGCTCCCCTCTTCCAAGAATAAGGACCTTGATGGTATGATCGGAGTCAGATCGGAAGCATGCATGATAGATGTGTCCCAGGCTTTAGAAGTACCAGTCGTTCTAGTGATAAAACGTATGTCGCACTTGACACACAAATAAAATTAGGTTAGGAATTTCCTATTAGCCTATCCAAAACACGTGACTTTGACAAGCAAACAAAAACCCTTTTCACGTGGCTCCGGTTTAACATACCGCTCAAATTCGTGAAAACACGTGAAAAGAACTATTGGGTTTGTGTGCCTCTTGGCGGACATTTTAATTTAAGGTTTGTTTCACCAGGGTTCATACTTTTTGCCTTCCTTTTTTAATAAATGGAAAATGACTGAAACAAATCAATTACGTCAAAAACGTTCGTCGGCTCTTAAACCAGAAGTCAATCATTTCAATTTGTCAAAAAAATTGAATGTGTCATATGAATTAATCTACGACAACCCTTTTTTCTCAAGTTATGACGCGTTCGATATCAAAAGTATGAACCCTGGTGAAACGATCTTTAGGTTTGACAACACCTTGAATAGTCAGCCTATCAAAAACACGTGACTCTGACAAGCAAACAAAGGGTTTGTGTGCCTCTTGGCGGACATTTTAATTTAAGTTTGACAGCATCTTGGATAGTCTAATTTGTACCTGAAATTGAAGTATTAGCAATCGATGTTCGTTTTTGTTGGTAATTTTTTGTTTCATCTGATTTGTGATTGATAAATAAGTTATTCTGAATGGGTATTACAAATAGTATATAATCGCTTGACACTCGATATCGTATAGGCAATCGAAACGTTACTTTCGAGTCGCATCCTTCGACTTTGAGCAATTAGAATCCCCATGCTGAATCATGCCACAAAATCATATCATCCACAAAAAGAGTAAACTTTTCCGAAATTAGGCATTCCAACGACCTGTCAAAAAGTGGGTTGTGGCGGAAGTTCATTATCCCGTATATGAGAGTGTGTAATTTAAAGCTTTTCAAAGTGCATTTTGTGGTTGTTTTGTGAATGAACTGTTTATTTTTTCATTTTATTGACTTCATTAGTGTTTCTTCCAATTAAAAATACCACAAACGGGCCTTGAAGTTGATTGTGGAAGTAGTTTCAACAAGGTAACAAGGATGATGTCAGGCTTTTTTCGTTGCCCTTTGTTTTAAAATTTTCCAATTAAAACGTGAAAATTTTTCACTACCACTGTTCCTGCATCTGAAATAAAGCCATTTTCGAAATATTCGTAAGAATCTAAGCTTTTGTAGGCCTTCATTTGCTCATTAATGTAAACTGTGGATCAAAATGTCATCTGGACATTTTTTTAAACTAACCGTTCGCCCAGATCCCGATTTTCCTGCATTCAAGTCTTTAAATATTCACTCTGCATCTCAAAAAGTATATTATAACAAAGTAAATTGTAATTAGCTTGAAAATATTCCAAATAAACTCAAGATAAATAAACAAACGTCAAATTTTCCACGGTCGCCATATTGAAAAATCACGTGGTTTGGAGAGCCTAATTGTCCAATCGCCTTGACAAGTCACAAAACACTGCTGAGCAGCTGGACTGGTTATAGAGCACTCAAGAAAACTGCTATTCTAGCCTAAACAGGTAGCAGCTTTATTGGAGAAAAGCTTGATGGTGTATCATGGTTTACACTCTTATGCAAGGTAATAACCACCGCTTGTTTGAGACAGATAGGGAATTCTCTAGACAGAAACGAACCATCTAAAGCTCTCTTAAGGCAAATAAGACACATTCTCAAAGAAAGATTTTCCCAGCCTGATATACCTATCCCTATTTTTAATATCGAAAATTATTTCCTTAAGCCTGGTTTATTCATCTTCAGATAAACTTGCTGGTAACTATCTGCAAAATAAATTTACCGTTCCTTTGAAGGGCCGATTTATTCATCTCTTGATAAACTTTCAGGTATGCAATCTGACAGATGGAAACGAAATCTGTTATCCCATCGGTCATTGGTCAGCCAATTATCCGCCGACCGAACTTGAACTTGCTTATAAGATAAGCACTTATTTTTATTCTTCCCCAATAAGTCACTAACAATCCCTCACAATTTTTTGGATCTGATGGAAAAATTTTTGATTCTTTCACGGTAGGTAATTCATAATAGGTACATGTCATTAGCGAATGTTATGGAATTTCAGTAAATTTTGCGATACTTATAAAAGTATCGTGGTGAAATCATGGAAGTTTTTCTTATGTAGTGAAGAGAACGCACATTTTCCCCAGAGATACGTAAATCTTGGGTAATTATTATCAACAATAGCGTGTAGCGTTTCCAACGAGTCGTCTGTGGCAACAACACCATTCCAGTAAGTTTGGGCAAACAGATTTGAATTTTACAAAGCTCTCTAGTGTATACAGTCTACTACGTTTTTTTTTTTTTTTTTTTTTTTATGCCCAGTGAGAGCATTAAAGCAACAACCCTGTTCCACATGAAAGATTTCTCCACAAACTAGACCACTACGGAATTAGAGGATTGTATCTTCGATGGAGTGACTGCTTTCTTAAATGTAGAAAATACGCAGTCAGGGTCAATGGAATCTGTTCAGAACTACACCCCCTAAACTGCGGTGTGCCGCAGAGAACAGTGTTGGCTTCTATCCTTTTCATACTCTATATAGTAGACCTAACCAAAAGTTTAAAAAGTAACTCAGTATCCTTTGCAGATGACAAAAAACTCTTCTGCAACCCATTGAAGCAATTGGATCAGTTTGAAGAGTGGTACTCAGTACAATCGAATGATGGACTGACACATGGCAGCTGAATCTGAACAAACAGAAATGTACAGTGCTGCATGTAGGAAAAAATAACCCGATGATTGACTACAAAATTAAGGGAACCAAGCTAGAGAATGTTAACCAACAAAAAGATTTGGGCATGCACGTAAGCCAAGATCTTAAATGGGAAACACACATAGGCCGAGTTGTGAAGAAAGCGAATCAGTTGGTGTACCTAGTAAAAACAGCTTTTACCAATCACTATCCAAATTATCAAAAAAGTCTATACTTACAACCTACATAAGGCCCAGACTTGAGTACGCACACACAGTCTGGAACCCGTACTACTGCAAGGATATAGAGCTGCTTGAACGTCTGCAACGAAGAATCACAAGAATCCCAATTAAAATGCATAATCTCTGAAAGAAAGAAGATAAAGAGGCGACTTAATAGAGACCTTTAAGATCCTGTGTGGACACTACTTCCCAGAACTGCATATGGCAGACATGTTTCAACAAAACATGAATAAAAACCTCAGAGGACATGACAAGAAGCTCAAGAAAGGTGTAATGCATTAAAGCAGGATACTATAAACGCGCCAAACAAAAATATTTTAAAGAATAGATTGGATCGAAACCTATCTGAACTTAACTCCACCCAGTACACTACTTCTAAACCCAATTAAAAGAAACGACGCAGAGCATTGGACAGAGAAGATACGATAGACTCATCGGTGTCAAACCGCTTTCTATTTTCAAGCAAATAATAACAATAATACTAACCCAGAATTAGTAGTCTTACACTATGATTCTGCATCAATGTTGGAGCATATTTAATCTAGGACAGATGATGACAAAGCTATAAGTCTGCATACACAAATTAACAAAGGTCCTCAAAGACTAACATTCCCAAGGGCATCCCGATTAAATTGCTCCACACTATAATATAACTTAGAGTCAATTTCTTAAGTAGGTCAGCGTCGAAAAGTGTTCAGGGTGTCAACCATTCTCAAACTACAATATCTGATTGAAAATCGTTCCACACTGATAAATCAGTGACTTCTGTACCAAGGCATTTCCAACAAAGTGCTGTCTATGAGAATCTCTTTGGATTAGATTGAGAAAATTGAACCTATGGACAACAGCACATTTAGAACGCCCTGATTGGTCACACCCCAGAATATATAAGATGTCACTCATATGAGGAGAAAGAGGTACTGCCCGCGCTAGTTGCTGACCCACAGCAAAACATCCTGATATTCTGCAATCAGGATTCCCAGGAACTTAGACGCAGCTATCTCTGGAAGAGGATCCCTGTGCAAAGAGAAGCGGTTGGAGTCGAATTATTGCTTGGTATTTTTGATCATTTACTTTGGTTCGTTTTACTTTACACAATTTCTTTAGAAGTAGAATTCTGAAGTTGATACTTAATGCAGGAGAACCTTGTTACTGAGCTGCGCCCCAGATTGAAATCGACCCTCAAGGTATCAAACCAGGAATCAGTCACGCCTGTTTAGCTTTGATAGCAGTATTTCGCGATTCACGCAATCAAATGCTTTGGACAGATAACGCAATCCTTGATTCATCCCAAAATCGATTCACGTGAAAGGTGTAGATAGCATCATGAGTACTCTTTGATGACTTTAAATCTAAACTGTTCTACAGTTATTTGGTCAAATGACTGAAAATAGTTCCAGTTTCTTTTCTTAGCTATAGATCCACTGGGTCACCATCCTTGAATAACGGAATTACTGATTGATCCATAAACCCACAAATTAAAACAGTTGTTATTCACCAAAAATATTAACAATATTAATTTTTTTCAGGTGATATTATTAACTCTTTACCTGGAAATTATTATCACTACGAACCGTTATTAGATTATGGAATTATGCAGATTAGAGGTCCCCCACATTCCGATTCTGCCATTTCTGTATTGAAAAGTTTGCTCAACTGTGATTATACAGATTTGTATAGGTCAGTTCTGTTTATTCTTTAGTTCTAACGTTGGCACACAACTAATAGGTTACTTTTAGATATTTAAAATTTGGTATGTCTCACGTTTATTTGTTCACCCACAACAAGCGTTTATGGAATCAGTGCGAAGCCTTTCCAGATTATTGTTGGGAACCAGATTTTTTAAATGAGTTTTGTAAATTGTTTCCTTTTCAATCGATGAAAACTGTTCGATTAAGATTGAAACTTGCAGAAGAGCTTTTGGAAGATAAATCGTAAGAAATGGGTTTTTTATCTTGTTTATTTTTGTTTTTTATTTTCTTAAATTTTTAGACTTAACGTGAAAATTATCTTATTGGTAAGAGACCCTAGAGGTACCTTACAATCTCGAAGGCATCGAGATTGGTGTCCAGGAGTACCAGACTGTGATCAACCAACTTATCTATGTTCGGACATGGTGTCTGATTATAGTGCAGCTATTCGATTAAAGCAATTATACCCTTCTAGATTTAGGTAAGAACCCAGATATTTCATTTTAAAAAAATATACATATATGTAATACTTTTTTGGACTGTTTCAGAGCCCTTCGCTATGAAGACCTTTCACTTAAGCCATATCAAATAACTGAGGACATATTCGAGTTTATGGGCCTTAGTTTACATCCTGAAGTAAGTCTGCTTCTAATATCTCAATCTGATAATGTAATCTCCATTTTACTTTAGGTCAAGGATTTTCTGGACACACATACCACATCAAATGTTGGGGGCGTTTCAAGCACGTTCCGAGACTCAAAAAATACTCCGTTCCATTGGAAATCGGATTTAAATTACACGGAAATTCAACTGATTGAAGAAGCGTGCCACGAGGCCATGAACCTGTGGGGGTATGTTCGCACTGAAAGCTCAAATTTAAAAGACTTTATACCGATAAAGTCGTATGAAATTCAATAATTGTTGCGCTGTAGACGAATTTTATTCACTAAAGAGCAAGTTTTTTTTTTTAACGGAATAGATGCTGTAGAATTGTTTTCTGATGATAAGATGTCATTTTAGATGATCTTCAGGGCTCATGATGATATTTTTGTTGATATTTGTGTAATATTATGAGGATAATATTGTCGACATCTTACTTCAAGATAAAAAAAAGATTTGCACTAAATATCTGCGATAAAAAAAAATAGTTAATTGTTCCTATTTTTAATACTTTTCACAAAAACACAATAGGCAAATAAGGAAAATAATTAGGTAGGTAATTGGTAAATACTCTTAGTGCCGGTACTTTTGCTTTCATTTGACAGCTGTTAAAAATAATCAGAGGTTTGAATGTGCTCTAATCACATCATACTTATAGACCTTGGCCCGTGCAATACTTTGACGACGTATCAAATTCGTTAATCGAGAGCAAAAGTATTGGCCCTTATACATTTATTTCTTTTCCTTTGATATTTTACATTGATATTAGTTTATTTAGGAATAAATTCAGCAGAATACTTAAATGAATTTTAATTTTTACAAAATTCAATCAATTTAATATCGAACACATATTATTATACAATTTTAGGTTTTAACAATATTGTGTAAGTAATGGATATTTTTCCCCTTTTATTGTTAACAGAAAATAGTCACTTTTGTCTTGTGCAACAAAAATTCTTTTACCATTTCAATTTTCCCAGTGACTTGCTGAAAACTGAAATTGATTTCTGTCAAATGCAGTGAAGTAAGGCATTTGTATATTTCTGCATATTAAAAGTATTATTTTTGTCTGCAAGACATATCATTCCCCTTTTTATTTAGTCAAAACCAAAAGTATTAAATAAGATTTTTTTCTATGATATGTTAAAAAATTATAGTCCATTCTAACCTAATTATTTGTTACAAAAGAAGTTTTTATTTATAGGCTAGGCTAGAGGGTTTTTAAATGATATTTTGCTCAAATTCACCAATTTGACAATATACTTTTAATTTTCTTATAGAAATCCTCTATCTTGGGATGGCGTAGTATATACCAGTGACTTTTTGATTGCATTTAAAATATATTTTGTTTTCAACCAATTTTGCCATAACTTGCCTACAGCACTAAATAATAGTTCATCCATTTAGTTTTAAATGGGAAATCCATTAAATAACTTTTTAATAGAGTAGTTTATTTATTGCTGTTTATATCAAATACTTAGTTATATTAATTTTATATAATATTTGAAAGGATTATTAATTTATTTAATTTATATGTGATGTGTTTCTAAGTATTTTATCTCTTTGACTGATATTATGATATTTAATTTTCATTTATCTTTGTTAACCCAAACTAAAATGTTATCTTTGAAAATTTATCAACAATTTTTCCTACTTTGAAGCACTAATTAGGTGTTGAATGCTGTGCTGCCTTAAAAGAATACCAATTTGCCTCTGTAACTTTTGAAACATTTTATTTCATGAAGTGTTTAAGTCAAAGAAGGCTCCATTATTGTTCGTTTCAATTAAGAAATTACTGTGATAAGTTCCAAAAAAAGTTTAATATAATTTTAGTAATTTTTTGATTTGGATATTTCATGATTTCTGCTCGCAGTTTTTGTTGTTCAACAGTTGCCTAAAAGGAATAGCTATGTATTTATGGCAATAATAATTTAAATAACATTTGCTCCAAGTTTTTGATATCTTGCTTCGGGGCTCACAATATTACTTTTCTTGTTATGTATTTTTATATGTAAAAATTTTATTAACCAAAAATGGTATAACCATTTTTTTTCTAAATTTCTTCAAATATTTATTTTTCCTTTTTCTTGAAGAGGTTAATCAAAATGTATTCAAGACATTTTCCTTTAAGGATTTAGAAACATCACCGCATGTTTTGCCTTGCAATGAGCTTTTTTGATGATTTACAAAATCAAAATTCTTGCAACAACGAAAGGCACTTGCTAATTTGGAAATAAACAACAAATTGAGATTAGTTTTTAAGGAGTTTTTATGTATTTCAATAAAACTTGTTGACAATTAACTGTATTGTTTGATTATCAGAAGTTATTTCAGTAGCGTATGGCCTAGATTATATATCTTATGCTGATTGGAGCACTTATAAAACCAATTTATCAGAAATATAAAGAGAACTAATATAAAAATTGAAATATGAAGTCAACATAAATCCAACAACTTAATTTAGATCAAAGGCATTAAACAGTGTAAGTTTGATGAAATTTTATTCATTCTAAGATGCAGGCTTTTTCATGGTAGCTACCTTCCAGTTTTATCAGATATCTGCTAATTTCAGGTCAACTGGATACAATAAAATTAAACCGCTTACAGGTAGAAGTTTTCAGGAACTCTGTTACATCTCCAAATTAATAGCACCTTCCAGCTTCCAAGATATTACCCTATCCTAACTAATTACTGCGTTGAGAGTCTGTATAAAGACCCTGAACAATCTGGGACTTCTGCGTAGAAACCCTTGACTGATGCTTTATTTTTGAAGAAAAGCAAAATACCTAATTTATTAACACAGGCACCGACAGCATATCTAAGTTGTATTCCTTTCACACCTAGGAGGAGCTCCGGGGCGTTACGCGCTTATTACTTTCGAAAAGTGTTTGCTGCAACTGAAGTGCTCAATCCAAAACTCAGAACATTTACTGCGTATGGCTTAATTCAGCTGGTGTAGGCACTGTGGTAGAAAAAAGAGTTTTGTTGTTTTGTTAAATTAAACAGGACTTGGCAAGCATGGTTTGGCATTGGCATTAGTGAATCACCAAATCCCTGGCGGTGCAACATTTTGCTGAATTTAGCCACACATGGTTAATATACGAAAGCCAGTGCATCTGTTCCTTTCAAATCAGGGTCGACAAGCTCTAGTGTTCTAAACTCTTGAAAGGAATACCACTATTGGATGATGAGTATGAGCTAGGAACATCCATGTGACGACGTTCTAAAGAGCTTAGAATCACCTGGAATTCAAGGCGCATACAATACAATAGAAGATCTGAAAATGTTTCTATATAAGGTCCCATAAGTACAAGAACCCAAACTATATTTGCAAACTTATTACAGGGATACAGAAGTATCAAGCTCATTTTCAATTGAATGATTTTGTGTTGATACTTAATAATAGGGTACAAGACAAAATTCCAGATTTTGAGTGTTCCATCTTCTGAGAGTCAGATTTGATGCATAGTTATCTACATCAGAACATGTGCTTGGTCCGTACCTACTGCTTCTATGATGACGATTAGAATATGATCAAAATTACCAACTAGCTCAAGAATGTGGTTTTCTTAATTAATTGTAAAAATGGCTATTTGTTACAAAATACACCTATCACTATTTGACTAATATACTTAAAACTAGCTTTTTTTTTCATAAGTATATATTTCAAATAAATCGTTTACAACATAACACTAGATAATTAATACAAATTTAGTAAAAGAATTCAAAAACAAATTTTGGATATTATTTATACAGGTATGGGATTAGAGGGAGCATATTGTTGACATATCCTTTCAAATTCGCTTTCTTTTTGCTTAAAATCTTTAATAAACGGATGTTCAGGATGAGCATCTTTAAGCTGAGACAAGTAACGATTCGAAATTTCAGGTCCTTTTCCTAAAAGCCGTTGCAAAGTAATCAAATTAATCAAAACCTCAGCATTATTGGAATCCCTGTCCAGAGCTTCCTCCAATGCAGATTCCGCTTCTTCATATCTTGCTTGACCAATAAACGTAGCCGCTTGTCCATTCAATAACATTGGTGTTGATCCATACTTGTCTACAAGTTCCTGATAAATGTAATAAGCATCTTGTAGTTTATCGCCACCCATTGCTGTGTGAACCCAAGCCTGTGCTAGTTGAGTCAGTGTTGCATCATCATCTTTTTCCTGCATTTCTTTAAGTTTTTTGAGAGCCAAATCTACTCTGTCTCGAGACAACAAAATATGAACGACAAATGCCATAGCTTCCAAGCTTTCTGAGGCATGCAAATATCTATAAGCTCCATCGAAGTTTTCTTCTTTGATGAAAATTATAGCAGCTACAAGTACAAGAGTCTCATTATGCGCTGTAGTGTCAATTTTTTGGTTGAGCTGTTCTAGGACCGAGTCACGGTTTGATTTGTTGCTGTTGTGTAAATATTCTGCTAAGAACTTCAAGGGTTGTATTTCAGAGGAACTGGCTCCATGAATTTCGTCTAGTACTACTAAAAACTTGTTTTGGGCAATGTATGAACGATAAGTGAAGATATCACGTTGGATTGCGATTTCAGGAGTTGATGGCTGAAATAAACAAATGTATTACCAGAGGAAGTCTGATAGGGAAAAGAGGTACCTATCTATTATGTACTAAAATAGTTTACTTTACCTTACGAACTTTTGCAGCTTCGTTGATACACTGCTGAAAATTTCCAATGTAAAAGTAATTTTTAACTTCGAAAAGCTCGTCAATCTCCTGCGTTGGAGGCATTTTTTATTTTTAGAAAAATTGAAAATTAAAAGTATTTCAAGATGTAAATAAATGTCAGCGTCAGCAATAACTTACCTAACCACATTTTTTTTTTGATTATTTGGCGATCTGAAAGCGTTTTCATCATGTAGCGGTTTAATATACCAATCAACGATATACCGTGCAATACTATTAGGCAATTCAATCCATCTGTCAAAAAGGAAAATTCAATGTGACGTGGCAGCCAAGCAAGTTTGTTTTGAATATGTTTTTATGCGTATTCTAAATTATTTTGCATACAGTTTTGCTTACAACTTTGATTTTCATTATTTAATAAAGTATTTGTTGACTAGGTACCTGAACTATTAATTCGGACAGAAAAAAGATATTTTTTTGTGTTTTTTGGCCCATGTGTGGCCGCCACGCCATCTTGAATGTCACGTGGTTTGAATTGCCTAATGGGCTATGGGGCCGGTTTCTCAATAGCGAGTCACCTTCGGGTTAGTTTTAACTCCAGGGTAAGCGTGTCGAGTTGCTATGTTTACCCTGGAGTTATGCTTAACCCGGGGGTGACTCGCTATTGAGAAACCGGCCCTATGGGTGGGGTCGAGGGGAGGGATAGGTACGTGCAAGGATATTACACACTACTACAGGATTGCTCATCGGCCTCGATTTTTGGAATCTAGGTCATATGGTGTTAAGACCGTTCGGACCGATTCGGACGTCATCAACGGGGTTGTTAGCTGTTTGCGCCAGCCAGCGGTCGTAGTTTAGAATATAGAAGAGTGTAAAAAAATAGTGTACCGGACTTCGAGGGGTGATTACTACATATGAAAATAGGAAAAAAAGTTTCTATGAACATATGCCCTAAGATCTTAGATTATATATAGTTAGCACTAAAAGATGAGTAATCAACTCCCAAATATGGTACAAAGATCTCTCATATTTTGATTTTGTCTCTCTGAGGGCGAATTCTCATGAGCGTAAGTTGATATTTCTGGCGTAATCACGTGATAATATGGTGTAATTTGATTGGTGAAATATCCAACATGACAAATATTTTACGAATAAGGGAGGATTTTCATGCATCCGTTTTTCCGTCGAAATATGTCCGAAAAGTCTTCTATTTTGACATATTTATATACGATTATGTCAGAATAGAATGTTAAACGGACATATTTCGTCGGAAAAACGGATGCATGAAAATCCTCCCTAAAACCTAAAATGGTTGGGTTTTACGTGATTACGCCAAAAATGTCAACTTCCGCTCATGAGAATTCGCCCTTACTTTGTTTACGCTGATTTTCTATAGTACCTACGATTTCCAAAAATTTAGATTTTGGATCTTTAGACATCTCTCTCTAAGGCAATATATAAACGAAAAGAACACCATAGGCGCCGGAATTTCAAAATTACCATGGGGGCTCGGGCTCCAAAAATTAATATGAGTAGAATCAATTAGACAGACAGGACTAGGCTACTAGACATATAGACTTTAATGGGACCAGTTGGCAGATACCCATTTCACTGCAGGATCGCTACGCTGGATTTATCGTCCCTGCATATGATTAAAAGTCGTGCATCTTCGGCAGCTCGGCTATACTCGGCTTAAGCAGTACCATTGGCGTAGCTAGGATTTTGCCTTGGGTGAGGAAAAATTTGCAGGAAGTGATCCTTGCAACTCCGCCGCAAGCGCTACAAGAGGGAAAGCGCCGCAGGCGCGAAATTTTTGGGTCCTTTCACGGTATTTTTGGACTTCTAACGCTATGTCCAGCGTAAAGACGATACGAGCGGTGCGTGCGATGCGATGCGTGCAATGCGATGAACGTCTGCGATTGAACCTATGTATTTATATTAGCATGTCCAAAGTAGATGCATTGCGCGGGCGTTGCGGGCGATTTTGTGTACCCGCAACGCACGCTTTGTTTAAAATACAAACATGTTTGAATTTGCACGCAGACCTCGTACGACGATGGAAGTTTTGATCACTGTAATTCAGAAACGTGATGTTTTATGGAATAAAAGAATTGCGTTTGGAAGTTGGATCTGCACGTAGATGTATACCTATGTAGCAGTATGTTCATATAAATGATGAAAATCTCCGAATTTTACCTGTATTTGTAATTTTGAAAGACGGTTACCCAATATGCGCAAAATAATTGGATTTCTGTATTCTGTTGAGCGTGATGTTGGTTAATTTAAAACGTAATATTCAAGATGTTTGATTGAAAATTTATTGTTTGATTTTTTGGTGGGTCATTGAACGAATGACCTTACAGAGGAGCCGCGCCTGATAATTTATATTATAATGTAACATAAGTTAAGTTAAACAACCACATATCTTTATTGTAAAAAAATCGGGAACTGTCATACCTATGTGAAGAAAAAGAATCAAAAGCCGTGTTTGTTTTTGTCATCTTTTTCGATAACTTGCTCTGAATTTTCAACAGGCACGTGATTTGTAAATTGAAACGGTCTAATCCAGTCACGTGCCTATCATAATTTCGGAGCAAATCGACGAAAAAGATGACAAAAACGAACATGGCCAAAGAAATACCTAGGGTACACTTTTCTATACTGATTATTTCTCTTTTGTCATTTTAAACACGTAGCCGTTGACATGTACCTCAACCCACATGTATATGTCTTTTTCAAGTCCGTTAATTACGGAAAGATGGAAAACAACTAGCTGCTGAACGAACTAACCGAATCTGAGATGAAATACTAGAGATGGTCACTACTATCGGTTGAAGACTGAGGAAATATTCGACTGTTGTCGCTTATTCAATATTTTACAATTTACAATACAAAAGTCTGCTTATTTCACTTTCACCGGTTATTAGGTACCTATAAAACCCGGTTATCCGGTTATAACTGGAAGCAAAAAAAAAACTGGTTTTAACCGGTTAACCGAAGAGAAAACACTGGTTTTTCGGATTTAACCACCGGGTATTGACATCCCTAGTCGGAGGTGCATGTAGGTAGGCCACAAAAATACAACATGCACATGGTACATATTTTAATTTTGTACCTATTTCTATTAAACATTATTTTTTAGTATTCTGGATAATTTATGATATGAAAAGAACTTGGTTAGGAGCATTAAATTTAAAATCCAGCTCAGTAAGCAAATGGACGTATGTTTGTGCAGTGGAGGGAGACTACAGATTTTCGAAAACTGGTGCTAAAATTTTAAAAGCCTCTGCTGTTCCTATTGTTGCAAGCACCGGTGCTTCTCGAATACTGTGCAGGTTAAAGGGTACTTGTCGAGGTAATCGTTCATGGGTTTATGTAAAAAAATCATTAATTTTGATTTTTGAAGAATCTATATTTGTGATTTGTTTGGACCATTCAATTAGGAATAGGGAACTTGCACATTAAATTAAATGTGGAATAAATACGTAATAAAACACAATAATAATCATCCTAATAAATGATGCAGTTAAGAAAAAAATATAATATCTTATCTCTGGGTGTCCGAAATCTTCAATTGAAAATACCAAACAATTCGAAATTGATGACGCGATCAAAAACGTGTTTCTATGGATCGTGACGTCACAAGGCAGTAATAATCGGGTCGCGCCGCTGCCACGTCATGTGCTGCTTGAAGTTCGAAGTGCTCGTCACTGTCATCGGAATTTTGTTGCCGAGTGACGTCACACTAATTGGTCGTTTCAAATGGCGATGTTTCGAGCGTAACTTCAAATATTTATAAAAAATTAACGGCTGATTTTTAATGCTTGATATTTGGTATGACTATGTTTTTATTGTAGTAGAACACATTTTTGAAATAAAAAAAAAATGTGCAAGTTCCCTATTAATCGTACTGGAACTATCTTCATTGGTGGTGTTATGTCCACCATTCAATTGAATAAAACTAAAAGTTTGCCATCTTTCAAATAAGGATGAAGTTCGACTCAATTTGAAGCTTGTCTGGACCAAGAAATTAATTTTCATTCCAATTAATTTATCATTAAATTCATAAAATGTCAACAAATGAACCAAATTATTGGTTGGCCAAGTAGTGGTTTGGTCTGCCTCCAGTTTGGCTACTAAATAGTGGTTAGAATACTAAGTTTGAATCATACATAGCGTCCTTAATAGTGACAATATCATTCTGATGCTATCTATAGTCAACTTTAAAAATAAAGGTACTCATACTCATAGTACTTTTCCTGAGTATTTAATATTCACTTGAAGGTTCAGTGCATTATATTTTCAGTATTTGTATATCATTGATCAGTTTGCTATAAGTATATTTTTGTTATCAGTAGGTACCTCAACTCTTGTAATATTATTATTAATATTCTGAATAAACATTGTTTTTTTTTTTGGCATTGTTGTTAAATTATTACAAAGCTCAGGGGCGGATTAAGCCTTTTTTCGCCCCTGTGCAATTAAAATTGTTTCGCCCCTTTCCAGGCTCTGGCCTAATCATAAGTTTTTATTTTGTCATTTGAAGATTCTTCAATATAAAAAAGACAAATACTTGGTATATTGAATTAAAGATGGCATGAGAAAAGTTGATTTGTGCCAAGTCACTTGTCATTTAATCTGAAAGTGTGTTACTTTATTCCTCCTCAGGTTGGAAAAGTACCTCTCTCCAGACGCTTTAGTCGATGGAAGGCAAAGATACATTCTCAATGGTACCTCGATATTGGAAATGACTAGATTAGTTTTTCAGACTTTAAACTTTGTAGAAGTTCTCCCAAATTTAAGGTGCCATCGTGACCACTAGAAATCAGAAAATATTTATAGTGAAAACATTCCTGAGGAAAATAATCAACCAAATCGTTTTTATGTTTCCTTAAACCGCTGCTCTTTTGTTCTTATTTCTTCGTCAGATAATGGGCCTGTTCGGGTTTGAAAAACGGTACGTGTTCGTTTTTGCCATCATTTCCGTCGATTTGCCCCGAAATTTTGACCGTGACTGGATCAGACAGTTTCAATTTACAGATCACGTGCCTGTCAAAATTTCGGAGCAAATCGACGAAAAAGATGACAAAAACGAACACAGTTTATGTGTAAGAAGTCGAGTTTTTGGTCATTTTGCTGTCTGATTTTTTTCCTCTTATTTTACTTGTTTTTTTTTTTTCGCCCCCTCTGACTTTTTGCCCCTGGGCGATCGCCCAATTCTGCCTTATGGTTAATCGGGCCCTGACAAAGCTACACTTTTTTGAT